AGCTAGAATAACTAGTAACGATCACTAAGATGCAAAATACTTCCGAAAACCAAGAACATTTGTAATGTTTGCTTTCTGAGCACTCAACTGGAATTCTATGATGAACAATGTTAGTTGTTAACAGGAACTGCGTTCTGAGTATATTTATGTGTATGTTTGTAGGAGGTGTGTAGTGAGAGGATTATATAGCACCAGAAATAGTCTAGGCTGCAATAACTTCTAATGTAAAAACTTTGTTTCACTGTTGTTTATTATATTAATCATTTGTTTGAATTTCGCGCAAAGTTACACAAGGGCTATCTGCGCTAGCCGTCCCTAAGTTAGCAGTAAACGACTAGACGAAGGGCAGCTAGTCATCACCACCCACCACCACTCTTGGACTACTATTTTACCAACGAATAGTGGGATTGATCATTACATTATAACGTCCCCACGACTGAAAGGGCGAACATGTTTGGTGGGACGGGGATTCAAACCCGCGACCCGCAGATTGCGAGTCGAGCACCCTAACCACTTGGCCGATAATGATGAAGAACACGTTCAATTTTATATAATTGAAGGGTTTGTTAACTCGAGTATTTATTTGTTTAAGTGAAACCAATGATTATTAATCTGTGTCCTACCATTAAAATAGTGTCGTACTTGATGTTTTGATTGATTTTTAATGGAAAATATTAAATTCATGTTTTGAAAGTTTGAAAGCTTAGATCAATATTTCTCAATATTCGTTTCTGTTTAAGCTGTGTATTCAGGTACAGTGATATTCACGAGAAAAGCTTCAAGTATCCTCAAAATGGAGTTTTTGGAAATGTTATACAAAGAACAAAATGAAGTTAAACAGCAAAAGAAATAGAAACACTAAAGTGTACATGTCCAAATGAAAAAATATTTCATTCATACAAATAAAGTGTGATTATGTATCTTAAAGGTCAGCTTTTGCAACAAGTTGAACTGTAATTGGCTGCTCGGGTAGAGAGGTTTTTCAAAACGTCATACAGAATTCCGATTTCCTTTTTCCTGTTAACGGAGTTTGCTTGGTCTGTATGTTTCTTGAATTTCCCCCAACATTACATGAAGGTCAGTCCTAATTTTGAAGTGATACATTAGAGGGAAGGCAAGTAATCAACACCACTCACTGGCAACTCTTGATCTATTCTTATCAGACCGAATAGTGGAATATGACTGTCACTAGTATAAAGCAGCAACAGCCCCAAATGTAAAGTGCATGCTAACCACTTGGCAACAGAGTTTAGTTGGTGATGTGGGTCACGTGACAGTCTGAGAGGTCTTAATATGTTTAATATTGTAATATAATTTAAGGGAAGGTTAGTTATTGTACTTGAGCTTGTCTCTTAGATTTCCTGTCCAAGACCCTGTAATAAGAAAACGTTAGTGCAATGTATCTGTACAGCATGTACTTCTCGTATATATTGAATTGGCCAGTTAAATATTTTTGTTCATATAGTATTTTGTGTTGAAACCCTTCTCTTTTTTTTTTTAACGAAGTGAGCATATTCACCCTTTGCATTACAAACTTCACAAATCTCTTGTTTTCTGATTGAATACCATACATGTTGGTCTTAAGTGTATCTTAAACTATCGCATTTATAGGGATGGACTAAATCTAAGCAACATCAATCTTACAGTTTCCAAACATGAGCTATGTATGCCGCTGTTGTAAAAGACAGTACCATGCATTATATCCCCGTTTAGTTAATATGTAAACTTTTCAAAATATTTGTATTTAATTTCAGTTCATTTTCAATGTAATGAGTGTCTCAACTAAGTCACTCAACTTTCCCTTTCTCTGGTCCACACCAGACGTGAATTCACTAATTGGCAATTAGTCGTGTTCTTTACACACAAAAAAGAGAGAGAGAGAAGAAGACGGCACCTCATGACATTAAGAATTATACTATTGTCTTTTCTGTCAGTGAATAAAATAATGGTCAGGTGCTGCACAACTTTGAACTCAAATCATAGTGGGCAAAGGTAATGTGTGAAAGGTGGAGTACTATGCGAATCTGACTTTGTTGATGTCATTGTATTTTGGGTATTTAAAGCCAGATTTGCTCCAGTAAGAGTGGCGTTTTGATTTTACCTCTGGTAACTTTAACTTGTGTAACATTTTCTATTGTTAATAAACCTTTTACCTAGGTTTCTAGTAATTTAAACTTATTGTAGACCTTAACTTTAAAGAGAGTTAGGTTTTTCTGTTTTAAACATAACTTTAGAGTTTGTTTTTGATTTTTTTTACATTTAATTTTACCTTTAGTTTAGCTTTCAAGGGAGCAATCAATGAACTCGTAAAAATATATTAAAGGTTTCTTCAGTCTTCTCTCGTCAGTTCAACACACTCGCGATAAACGTTTGTGTCTTGTAAAGTGTTTGTTTTTTACATTCTTTGTTGTAATAAAGATTGCTGTAAGTAGTGCATTTGTGTGCCGTCTCTTTCTTTGCGACAAACTTTGTCAGAGTTTGGAGAAAATCAAATATCACACATTTCGTAATAACTGATTACTCTGAGAGAAGTTGTGCACTGGAAAATAATACCACATTACTAAAAACACATAAGCATAATTCAATTGCCAACATGTTTAATTATTATTATAGATAAAAACCAGTCACGTCAAACATGATTATTTTTATGATTGTTTTGAAGATAACACTGCTTCATGAGCTAACCCCATAGGCACTGGAGCTATACAAGATTGTATATACACGTGAAGAAGTACTCACTATAAAACCTTAAACCTTCTACCAAACAATTTGAAAATTATAAACTCTGATCAAATCAACTAGTATAACTAGAAGACTCCATATTTAATTTTAACAACAAAACAAGTAACGAATAGTAACAGTAGTGCACAATGTCAGTGGCCTTAAACATTTATGTATATTTAAAATACTACCTTGGCGTTAATATACCTACCTACATTTGGATCAATCATCACTACGAATGAAGAATTGCACAATGTTTCAATTTGCAAGGGTCAAAAAGGGGAAACTTAAGGTCCTTTTTGGCTTTATGTGTCTGTCAGAATCCATGGTTTGATTCCCTTTCAGTGGTATCACGAAGTTGTAGATGCTCATTAAAAAGTAATCTCAAGTTTAGCTAAACACTTAGTAAAGAATCTTTAATTTCTATAAGTCCTACGATGGTTTATTTGTGTTTTGCATTGTGTCCAGTCTTTTTCTCTGAGTTAAATTCCGCAAAAGTCAAAGAACTCAGAAATACTTCGTAATAAATATCCAATTGCTCTAAGGAAAATCAGTTTGAAAAGAAATTACCACACCGGTGTAACTTGGAATAATTTCACGAGGAAACCAAAAGTTCCTAAAATTAGCACAATGTTTCGATATTCTCTGGTCTGGATGCCATGAAAACAGCGTACAAGATGTTTCAGAATCTCAATTTTATCTAATCCGAATGAGCATTGATCTCGATTTAGCTTTCATTTTCTTTCTTGAAACAGATCGAAACAGATTGAAAACCTTTGATGCTTTTTCTTTAACTCTGCTTCATCCTCAGTATAGCTAGCAACATAGTCCATGTACTATGCTGTACGTAACATGGAATCCATATGGCATTCTGGTAAGCACCAGGAGCATCTGAAAGTTCAAAGGAAACATTGTAGAATCTGAAACAGTCGCGATGTGTGATTAAGGTTGTCAGATTTCAGGATTCTAGGGGTAAGTTTACCTTTCCAAATTATTTTTTAGCATCTAGCTTTGCTAAAGCCTTTGAGTTTTTCAATTATCGCACTTGTCGCCTAATGAAATTAATCTCAAATGCTTTTATCTTGTTTCTTTACTCAAAGCTCATGTCCTAGTGATTAGAGTAATCAACTAGTAATCTGTAAGCTGCGAGTTCACATATTGTCATCGAACATGCTCGTTCTTTTAGGTTTGGGGACATTATATTGTGACTATCAATCCAACTTTTCGTTGTTAAAAAGTAACCAAAGAGTTGGCGGTGGATAGTTTTGATTAGCTGCCTTCTTTCTAGTCTATGGCTTCAAAATTAAAGACCGATAGCGCAGATAGTCTCGTATAGCTTTGAGCGAAACTAATAAACAAACATACACCACCAGTGGCGTAGGAAGCGGGGTCGCTCCCACCTCGCCCACTTTTAAAACTGTCCTAGTAAAAATGCATAAAATTGGAAAAATTACTTCCAAGAAAAGCAGAAAAATGTATAAAATGTAATCCAGAACCATGAGGCGATTCCTGAACCCCAGCTGTAATGGGTGCGCCTTTGATGTACATTCTTTCGCTTCGCTCAAAAAACGTTGGCCCCTCCTCTATTTTTAATTTGCCTCCTACACCTCTGAATTACTACTCAAAATTATGGAAACAAAGCAGCATCTTAGTAGTCTGTCTTACATCATTTTTGAAACTTTATAGATTTTTATAATAAATAAACAAATCTAAACATAGCGCACAGTATGAGACAGTTTTATGCATTTTTTACCGTAAAAACTTAAAATTTATGCAAGCATTTTATAAACTTTAATTGTTAGCTCTTTTCAACACAGTTAAACATTAATCAATTAAATAAATATTTCTTCAGTTTTCATTCTCTTTATGAAATGATTATATGATTTCTTTAGAGTTAAGTTGGATACTATTATTACCGTACAAAAACAAACAAACACACGTTATAAGTTAATTATTTGATAAAACATGCGCAACCATTAAGTACTCTTCTCAATCTAAATAAACATTATGAGCAAGTCTTCTTTTGTGAATCAAGAATAAATAAATATTTGAAAACAAAAGAATATATATATATATAATAATCATTTTATTCAATTCCATTCAAAGTTTGATTTTTTTAATGAGTAACATTTAAGCTTGTTAAAACATAAATTTTCAACTACATTATAAAACAGTTTAAAATATAGCGCTTAAAAACAGTGTATTCGTAAATTAAAATAGTGACTAATAGGTTCTTCTTGTTCTGTCGTCAAAAAATAAATACGTTACAATTTACAAGCTGTAAATTCGTAATTTTTGTTATAAAGTAATGGCAGTGACCTAGGCCGATTTGTATTTACAACTACAAGGATTAAGCAAATTTACAAAGCTACATTTGATTTTGATGTACTGCGTCGATTTTATGATTTTACTAAGTATTTTACTGCTTTCAAAGGTTTTTGTTTTTGATCAAATTCCATTGAAAGTATTAGTTGTTGTCTAGTTCTATATTACTACTTCAGTATATATAAAGTACTTTAGACTTAGTTTAAAATTAAAGTAGTACTTATACTACTACTAGTAGATGAACTACAGCTAGTTGGAACGAGTTGAAGTTGAAAAATGTAGGCTAATCTCGATGTGTTTTTTCTGTTTTTTTTTAGGATAAAATATCGAGGAATACTGTATTATTTTTAGTTCTTCAAGTTCCAACTTCAAGGTGTATTCGACAAAGCTGTAATAATATTACATCAAAGTTTTCGAAAGTTTAAATGCAGTGTTGACATTGCTGGTGTTACTTACTGTTACTAGTGTTGGGCCTACACTACAGTCTACAGTGTGTTAAAATTTTGGACAATGGAAGCTATTGCAAAATACGATTTTAATGCAACTGCTGATGACGAACTAAGCTTTAAAAAAGGGCAAATTTTAAAGGTGGGTCAGAATCGTAACATGATGTTCCCTTCCATTTATGTATTGATAAATTTATTTTTGAAATGTTATTGTTAGTAATACTACTAGTAATATTATTATTATTATTATTCATTCAAAATGGTTAGACAAGACAGTTATGAGTAAATTACTGTAAAAGTCATTCAAATCAATTTTAAGTTGCATGTACCATTCCAGTAGCTTATCTTTCTGCTCTTTTTATAACATTTTTATATGTTTCCTGCCGGCTGCAGTAAGAGACTAAAACTACACAGAATTATGCAAGGAGCATAATATTTCTGCAAAAAATTTTAAATTGTCTGTATGTTAACACTGATATTATATGTAACTAATCCGATATTTGTCAGGTACTAAATGTTGAAGATGACATGAATTGGTACAGAGCTGAACTAGAAGGAAGGGAAGGACTCATCCCAAGTAACTACATTGAAATGAAAAAACATGAGTAAGTAAATATCTAGTTTTTATCTTCTTAGTGAATGCTATGTTATCAGGTTGTTTTTATTTTATATAATATAGTTATACTCTGAAAATGTCACCTAATTCCATTCTGGACAGAATATTTGGGGCATGGGTTAGTTCTGTTGTAGACAGCCAGGTTTGAATCCATACAAAATCCAAAAAATATTCCTCGCATTTTAAGCTGTAGGTGCATTGTAAAAGTGCCAGTCAATCCTGTAGTAGGGGTGGCAGGGTGCTGCTGACTGGCTGCCTTCCATCTGATAAATAGCTCAAAATTAGGAATAGTGCCTTAATAACTTTGCAGTCATAAATACAAAATAGAATACTTTTTTACTTTTAGTTTTATAAACAAAACAAAAAATACTAATTTTTTTCTTTCATCTAGGTGCAAATGATTAAATGCTGTTTTGACTGGTAAAGGGTGCAACTTTAAGATTTAATTTTGAAGTGGAAAATTTTACTCTTTTAACTTTCAAAAGCACTGTGCCTAAAGAAGTTTACAACATAATACTGAATGTAGTCTGCTTATATATAAAAGTGTATTAACAAGTTATATGAAAGAACAAAAAACATCCACTTCTCAAGTCTTAGAAATATTCTGTTAGACTTTCAAGGCTTGAATTTTTAGTTTCCAACTTTATTTCTGAATTATCAGTGGTCTGTTTTACATCTAAATTACTTTATGAAAACTGAAAAATTGTTAAAAAATTCAGCAGCTAAAGATAGCTACAACACATGTACACATTTCACCAAGGACAAATTCTTACTTGCTCAGTCTTTAAAATTTCGTTTTGCAGAAGAAAGGGAACTTGTGTACTAAAAATTTAATATATTTTTCTTAAATCACAAGAAAAGCAGTCAAATAAACAATCTGCAAATCATTTTGTCCATGTTGCTAACTGTTGGGGATGATGTCAGAGAACATGATAATGTGAAGGGTTGAACAAATTCCATTTCCAGGGAAAATTTAAGCTTGCACATAAGAAACCTCTTTGCCATATTCTAGTTTCCAATAGAAAAGTAAACATAAAACTTCAAATGTTTCCGTAAGAAGAGGTATATCTGCAAGCTGTCTAAATTTCCAACAACCTACATTAAAATATTTTTTCAGTTTAAGCTCAACTAACATTCTTCCTCTAGTGTTTATCTAATACTGTGCAAACAAACTTTGATGCCTTTCCATTTCAACAAATTCATTCTTAAGTTTTTACAGCCCTTTTCATAAAGGATTTAAGATGGATTTTTAGTGGTATGTTTGGTTTATTGATGCAATTATTATTTTGCCTCTGATAGATAAATGTATATTAATATTTTTTTTTGAGAAAATTATGATTTATATTCATTCAAACTGGAAAACTAAAGATTATGAATAATGACATTTCATTTGAAGACAAAAATATTAGTAAATGTAGATTGTGAAAGAAGGTTTGTAACCTCATTAAACTGAAAAAATATTCAACCAGCTATGAATATCTGCCCTAGAAATTATAGGCCAACTAGAAGTACTTCTGTAGTGTGAAAAATGATAAAGAATCTGATAAAAGAAACTTACAGGATCGTTTAGTGTAATACGATACCATAAATGAAAACCAACATTGATTCATCAAAGTGAAATTTTGATTTAATAATCTGTTTTCTTTTTGAGAACATTACTTGTTATCTGGATGAAGGAAAGAGTAGAATTTTGGACTTGGATTTTCAAAAAGCTTTTGTTAAAGAGCCATGCATAATATTAGCTAAGAAAATTGCATTATTAAGTTTTAGGGGAAACTAGTAGTTTGGATTATAGGGCAGTTGTATGAGAGAAAGCAAAAAGTTGTTATTAAAGTCCTTGTTACTAGTGGAGGATCTCAGAGGTCAGTGTTTGGGACTTTGCTCTTCCTTATTTACATAAATGATATTGATAAGGGCATCATTAGTAAAATATTAGTGTTTACTGATGACATTTAACTCTTTGGGTATCTCTAGCTGTATTGAAGATACACAGCAGAATAACTTGATTCAGTTGATAAGTTGAACAAATAATTAGCAAATGGCCTTTAATTATAATATGTGTAAGGTAATGCTTTTGAGCTATAATAATTTGGATCACTTATTTAATATAGATGGGAACTAACTCAATAATGTGACTGAAGAAAAGAGGTGTATAAGTCACTTAAGCCATTAGGGCATTGCTCTGTTGCTAGTTTTAAGACTAATAACATTTTAGGATGTATTTAAAAAACATTGATCACAAGTCAAATGAAGTAATTATCTCTTTAAATCACTAGTTGGGCCTCACTTAGAACACTGTATACAGTTTTGGTCTTCTTATCTAAGAAAAGATACTGACTTGTCAGAATAAGTTAATATCACTCATTTTCTTTTAAGAAAAGAAGCATAAGAGGTGACCTTATTGAAACTTACAAGATATTCAGTTAAGGAAAATGTTAACATTGATTCTTCTGATACCTTCTACACTGAAGACAATAAAATGAGAGGATACAAATTGAAAATTTGGAAAAAACAAGATAGGTTCTAGTTAAGAATTTTATATTTCTAATAGGTTGATTGACTTATGGAATGAGTTGTGTCAGCAGTAGTGGATGCTAATACTTTACAAAGTTTAAGAGGGGAATTAATGATGATCCTAAAAAGTAAAGTGTGTTTATATTTTTACTTTTCCAAAAGCTGGCTGTGCAAGGACAGCATGAAGAACCAAATAGTCCCTTCTTTTACATTTTTATGTTAAGGCCTCTAGTTGACTTTTCTTTACAATCAGCCTGTCTCAATAATGTGTAGAAGGCAGTAAAAGGGTAGGGGCTCATTGACACCCACACACACACAGAGAAAATGTTTACATGCATCACAAGGGGGGGGGGGGGTTAGGTTAGACTATGGGAACTGTGAGTTGCCTTTGTACACATAGGATAATTGGGCATGTCTTTTAGTAATTGTAGACATATTTTTATGACTGAGAGAAAGAGCACTTTTAGGATGTAAGATCAGAAAGGCAGGGGCTTTAGCCCACCTAGCCACCTTTCTGTGCACATCCTTGACCTGTTTAGGCTAACATTATTTAGCTTTATACAAATTTAGTTTCTGTATTATCATAATGTATGTTATGTTGAAATTTTATCAAGTGCATCTTTCAAGTAAATTTCTTAATAATTTTTACAGAATTAGCCTTTTATGACCAGTAACCTAAAGTGTTGTTTTTTTAATTTTTGTTTTCTAAAATTGAAAAGAATAAAAAATATTTATAATGTACAAAATAAACTTGGGTGTTTTTCAGATGCTTATTTACAAGATGTAAGAGCTGATTCTATCAGTCTTTAGGCAATAAGAGAAGAAATGTAAAGAATTTTTATGCTGGCTTAAACTACCTTTTTGTACATAAGGGTCTCTCTGTATTTATAATTTAAAATATAACAATCAAATTAGTGTAAAACAAAGGATTGCAAAAAAAGTGAGTAAGAGACCAACTACATAGGTCAGAAACCATTGGTTTGGATGTGTAGTTTTTGGGCTAGGTATGACATTGTGGTTAGCATGCTCAGATTGTGAACTCAAGGTTCATAGTTTGTGGCTTGTTGCCCAAAAACCTTCTCTATATGTTGTTGTCTTGGGTACACTATAAGAGTGACATTTGAATCCCACTATTTTGTCAGACAAGAGTAACCTTAGAGTTCTTTCTGGTCTGTCATGGTTTGGTTGCTGGAGTTGAAGGCAAGAGAGTCAAAGGACAGCTGCAAAAACAAGAACGAAAATCAAGAGACAGAAGTTACCTACTTAACTACCCAAATAAAACAAAGCCTTAGAAAGGTATCTCACAAGTCAACAAATTACTTAATTCAAACAATGGGTTACATGTGATCTAAGCTATCTCCAGCTAGCTTGTATGGACTTCTTTATTGCCTGTTTGAACAGGCTACCTTCATAACTGCATACAGGAGAGCATACATACTAGCTTAAAACTCAAGAACAAAGATTGCATTATGTAATCTCCAACTGGTTAAAAAGATTATCAGACGTTTACAACCATGAGACATCTGGTCAGGGTAAAAGTCATAACTACGTGCAAAAACCACATGGAAATTGAAAAAAATATTTTATGAACATACCCGATTAAAGATGTAAGCTATATTAATTACATAAGTGTGAAATTACTAACTGTTCTAACTATGACTTGGCATGACATTAACTGAGTCAACTTATTTAGTTAAGATTGTGGTCATGAAATAGATTTAAATTTTTGTTCTTAGTGTTGTATTGTCTTACCACACTAATAACAGTTTTATAGTATAAAATGTTAGTCTTACAATGCTGTGTGCTGTAAAAAAAATATTCATTAAATTTTATTGTGAAGTATTAATTTACTTTTTTTAGAAATAATTTGCATAGTGATTTGGTATTGTTATTATAAAGAACTTTTTGTGAAGTTTTCAACCATCTGTAGTGACGTGCATTGTAAAATTGAACTTGATCTATATTAACAAAGGAGCAACAAATACAGACCTTCACATTTTGATGTAGATGTGAAGTGATTGTAATGTTTAAATATAATCCTTGAGTGAGATGTGTAATAAACATGTTTTGATATGTTTCAGGTGGTACTATGGTCGAATTACAAGGGCAGATGCTGAGAAATTACTAATGAATAAGCACGAGGGAGCATTTCTCATTAGAGTGAGTGAAAGTTCTCCTGGAGATTTTTCTCTTTCTGTAAAGTAAGTTGTATTTTTACTAGTTTATATCTTTAGATAATGGGTATTTACATTAAATTTGTATACACATTTTTCATTGTGTGTGTGTGTGTGTATATTTGTTTAGGTTTGTCATTGTAATAGTTCACTTCATATGTTACAGTACGATCATAGTTACATCAGAATGTTACATGTCAGATTAAAGTGGAACAGGCAAACACTTGCATTTGTTTAACTAGATAAAACACTTTTGAGACTTTTGTCTGTAAAAATACAGTTTGTAGTCAGTGCTTTAGCACTTTAGTAACAATGTCTACAGAGCAGTCATTCCTTTTAACTGGATCTTCCCTTAAATTGATAGCACACCAGTTTCATGTCTTCAAGGTTTTCAATCAAATGACAAGTCTATTACTCTAGTCTTATGTCCAAAGTAACATTGTTTTGTGAAGCTTTGGCTACAGCACCTGACTAATAAAAACTTTGTAAGATAGTCTTGTCAGTCTCCTAATACTCCAGTAGAAATTGACATGGACCCAGACATTTTCCATAACAACCAAATTTTTCTTTTAAGGACTTCTGTATGATATCAATATTACATGAGAAAAATTCACATGGGGGAAAATCAATATTTTAGGCAAGTCAAAGTATATGCATGTGATGTCCTAGAAAACATCAATTACATAATTAAGTTTTAGAATATAGGGACATGAATTGCCTTTTAAATACACAAAGTATTCCTCCCACGAAGGACAAAACAAGTAAGAAGAGAGAATAATAATTCCAGAATTCAAAACAAGATTCATTTTCATTTGCAAACCTTTGCCTTTTTGCCAAAAGCGTCAATCATTCAATGCAACTTGGAAAACTATGGGCGTCACAATGCCTTATAAAATAATGTTCCTTAATGGTGGACAAAACAAGAAGAGAGAATAATAATTTCAGAATTCAGAACAAGATCAAATTCTATTTGCAAATCCTAACCCTTTGCTGAATATATGATGAACACTCAAAATATTTCTTCACATGTTTTAAAGCTGTCATTGTTCGTTCAATGTTCTAAAAAACATAGCAAAAGAATAGAATGTTAAACAGCATACTAAGTTTATTACAAATACTAATAAGTACATCAGTAAACATGAAAAGTGAACATCTTCTATATTAATCAAATTCTTCATCTTCAACATTGCTAGAGGTGTTTTGTGCTTCACACTTGCAACGGATACTACAAGTGAAACCCTTCTTGAAACATCTAACATCTGTAAGAAGTTCTGTGGGTGCTGCAGCTTTGTCAGTGATTACAGGTAAAATGGAACCATCTTCTACCTTTTACCCATACTCCTCCTTATTTAGCACAGTCTTCAAATGATGCCAAGTACGGACTTGATAATGAACTCAAAGAATGTGGAAGTAGGCTGCTCTGCTTGTTGAAGGCATGCATTGAATAGCAACAAAATTCTGCAATATCACCATCAAGTATTGCAGTTCATCTAAATTTTTGGGTTTGGCACTGTCCCTGTAGAGAACCTGCATGAACTTCTCACCAATTTCCTGTAGCAAGTCGTTTGATAAACATGTATTCGCCATTGTTGGGAAGACTGAAGTATGTTGAGATGCTTAACTTTACCGATACTATGAAGTCGTTTCGCATTCAGACATAACATGAGTAATTCTCTCCTGATAACTTCTTTCACTATCCTGATTGAAATGTATTGCTGCTTTGTATGTAGGAATATATTTGCTGAATGTTCTGCATGATGCAATACCAATATTAGAATATTGTTTGCTGTGGCAATTACCCATTCATGGTTGTCTGTGAATTCAAGTGCCTTTCAAAATATCACCACATAGGCATCTCCTTCCTCTCCTGCATGATCTATGTTGTTCCCAGCTGACTTAAGGTGAGTAGCCAGCTGGTTAATGAAGTTTTGTTGATTATGTTTCTTTGATAAAAATTATGCCTTGTCTGTAGGAACTGGAGTATTGTTGTTTATCACCATGGGTACTGGGGTAGTTGTTGTTAATCACCATGTCAGCACATGATATTTGCTGTAGTTGCCATTTCTTTGTTCCAGTCCTTTTGTCATTTCTACTTTATAGCTATCATAGATTGCCCATACAGCACTGCTCGCTTTCTTGGTTTGTACTACAGTAGATACCAAAATGTCAAACACTGTGTCCATTGTTCCAGTTTTGGGCCATGGAATATGATGAATCAGAGCACAGCCATCATACACCCTGCCTGACTTGGTGGAACAAGGTAGTTGATTTTTATAACTGTACTCATTTGAAGCATGTGCTCTGCTAGTTGTGACTTATGGGTTTTCCTCATACTTCCACCAGACTTTAGTTTTGGAGTTAAGGAATTATGTTTGTCAAGTCCAGCAGTACTGTGTTGAGTTTGTTCTATGTTACTTGCTAGGGTGTAAGCCTTGTAGCACTTGTCATGCACATGGTATTTTTCAGAAAGCAATGATTGCACTTTCTGGTGAAGCTCATCTCCACACTTTTGTGATGTTTCAAGCAGCATAGATAATCCCTTTGGACCTAATATTCTATAACTACCATCACTAATTTTACTACCACAAGCTACACAAAGACATGGTGATGTCTTATCTGTAATGAAAAGAATTAAAACAAGTAACTGACAACAAAATTAGTAATAGCAGTAGCAACAGCAGTAGTAGTAATATTGTTATAAACAGCAGCTGAGCATTAATATTATCATTACTAGTCACAACTGTCTTTATCCATTGCCCTGAAGTACTATTTTCAGAAATTTATTTGACATTCATAGTATTAAACTCATTAAATATTGCTGTATTCATACATGGTTATTGAATTCAAAACATATTATTTAATTACTACAGTTATCTCAAGTACAGTCACTAGTGCCTGTTTTTGTTTGAGGCTTAAAAATAGAGCTTTAGTCAATATTAAATATGTCACATTTACCTTTAAAATTCCCAAGGTCTATAAGCCTTAATATCCTAAAATATTGAAGTTTAAATTTTGTTACAAAAT